GGCCGGCGAGCTGGGCGCGGGCGCTGGGTGCTGGTGGCTGGCCGGGCCCCCTGCGGGAGCAGCCGCCGCCTTGCGCCGCAGCACCATGTCTGAGCAGCTGGAGCGCTGCGAGCGCGAGTGGCACGAGATGGAGGGGGAATTTCAGGAACTGCAGGTAAGGCCGGGCCACCTGGTCCCGCAACTCTGCCACCTGCGGGGCAGCGCCTCCGCCTTCCAGCCGTGCCCGGCCCGGCTCTGCCCCGTGGGTGGGGCGCTCGGGGCCCGGGTGCTCCCGGCCGGGCCCTGGGCGCTGGCGGCTGGCGCGGACCCGGTGCCTTGCGTCTTGCAGCGCCTCAGCGCCTCCCCTTGGGGCGCGCGCTCGCAGCCCCCCGCTCCCTCGCCGCTCTCGCCCGTCTTTGCACCGCGCTTCTCCCGCTGCAGAAAGTTGCCCTGTGGCCTCTGAGGGTCGGTTCCGAATGTGTCCTCGTAGGGGAAGCCTGAGGGGGTGGAAGGTGCCGGGGCTGGGAGAACACCCCGCCTCTACTGCGGGGACCCTCAACCCTGCGCCCGAGTCTCTTCCTGACAGCTCACCTCGGGCCCTGCTGGCAGAGCAGTGGCTCCTGCAGCTGCAGCGTGGAAGCTGTGCCTAGGAACCGCTCACCTTGAACCCCAGGCAGTGCTTGGGGGTTAGGGACCCTTAGTTCCGGCTGGGGGGGAGCCCTGGTGTGCTGCCGCCCCTCCGAGCTGAGTGGCCTCGTGAGGGGCATCTGTCAGCCACAGAGCAGAGCCGCCTCCCCCGGGTAGAGGCTGAGCCCTGCCTCGCCGTCCTGGCCCGGGCCTTCCACGGCGCGGGTGGGGCGCGGTGGGGGTGAGAGGCCCGGAGAGGGCGACGTTGCTAGTGGGCGCTGGCAGAGCGGCGCTCCTGATAGGAGGTTCCCAGCGGCATCAGCCACCTACTTTGCCAACTAGAGGCAGCTTGGGAAACCCCGGGCTTGACCAAGCCCTGGGACCCAGGAAGCATTTGGGAGCTGTTTTCTCTGGAGGCTGCGCTGTCTGCCTGAAGTCGCTGGAGCGTCCGCATGTCCCTGTCCGTCCAGCGCGGTCTGCAGTTGGCTTGCCCCGCTGGTGTCCGGCTTAGAGGGGAGGAGGTCACCCCGGATGTCGAGGGTCTTCCCAGATCTGAGGCTGTGGTGCAGGTGGGGGACAGGCAGCCTGGGCCGGCGGGGACTGCTGTTTTGGGAGGGTGCAGGGGACAGGACCATCCTGCCCTTCTCGGCCTGAACAGCGTGTGGGGGTTGGCACCTTGTCCTTCAGATCTAGGGCTTGGGTCCCTCCCACATCCCAGGGGACCCTCTCCTTCCACTCTCTGGAGACGACTTAGCCATTTCTTAGCCTTTGTCCCACTGGGCTCTGAGATCAGGTCCAGTGCAGAGCCACCGAGTGGGTCTCAGGGCCAGGAGTAGGGGAAGAGGAGTGGTTTGTGGGGTGGTATTTTGTTGTAATCCCTTTCCTTGTCCCGCCTGAGACTAGGAGGAGGAGGAGGAGGCGGCTTACTCTTGAGAGCTGTGCAATTAATGCAATTAACAGCAGTTAGCTTGCGTGTCTTGGCAGGCAGAGTCACCGAGGAGTCCTTTGATTTGTTATGTTCCTTTCAGCATGTCAGATGCTCAGGTGTGTCAGAGACAGAGGAGGTGGGAGCTAGGATTTTATCCCTGGTGTGTAGCAAGGGTTGGCTGACCAGAAGCCCTGTCATCTCCAGTGCTGGTCTTTTTTTTTTTTGTCTTTTTTGAGACAGGGTCTTGGTATGCAGTTCAGGTTGGCCTTGAGCTCACTTTGTAGCCCAGTCTGGTCTTGAACTTGCTACGATCCTCCTGCCTCAGCCTCCCGAGTGCTAGCATGACAGGTGTGTGCCACCATGCTGGCTTCCCAGCGCTGTTCTTTAGAGGTGGGAAAGCTGACCTGGAGGCCTGGGTTTGGTGATGCACACCTGTCATCCCAGTACTCTGGGAGCCTGAGGCAGGAGGATCACAAGTTGAAGCATAGCCTGGGGAATTTATTAAGATGCTGTCTCAAAGTAAAAAAGGGCTGGGGATATGGCTAAGTGCAAAGGCCCTGGGTTCAATCTCTAGTACTATAGGGAAAAAAAAAAAGATAATGGGAGGCTGAGGGGGATGAGATAGAGTGCTCTGTGGGGGGCAGGGATTTTGCTGCTTTCAGGCACTGGTGGCCTGTGGCTGAGTCAGAGGCCAGGGACAGTGATGGTAGCCACCTGGGGATCAAGGTTGTAGACTGAGCAAAAGCACATCTTTCTTTTTTTTTTTTTTTTT